AGCGGCATATACCAGAGGCCTTTTTTAATAGTCAAAGTTGGCCTTCGTTTTCTAGCATGTCTAACGTCACAAATATGACCTCTTTAGACTTGTCGATTATAAAAATATAAGACATTGTTTTTCAAATTTTCTTTTAAGGTTTCCAAGAGTAAGAACAAAATAATAATTCGGTGAAGTTTCAGTGTCAGGGAATGTTTCTTATGCGTTCACCCTTCTCTCGAAGTTGCCATTGCATCCTGCCGTGTTTTGTTCGAAAAACAGGAATAAAATCGATTTTTCAAACTTTTTTTAATTTCTCCTTTAAAATGAATCGTTTGAACCCAAAACTATTTTTCCTTAAATTAGGTCACTAAAAGGGATGTTTTGGCAAAATAATAAAAAATTCGATTTTTTGACGAGTGTCGTGCGATTCTCGATTTTCTCAGAAAATGGCTCTTAATAGTTGAAAAAGTTCGATTAATAGTTTAGTGATTTCTGTATTAAAGTATTTGTTTGTTTGCTTGTTCAGATTTAATGTAATTAAAATAAAACTGTGATAGAATATTATTTATTGTAACTTCAAATTGTAGTTTTTCTTTCCTTTTCCTTTCCTTTCTTTTCCTTTCAATTTATTTTTCTTTTAACTGGTCCGCCCAGATTAGCAATTGCTATTTTGCGGGCCAGTCTGTTGTAACCAATAGTCTTATGAAATAAAGTTGAAGTTGAAGTTGAAGTTGGTAAGTGTGGCCATGTTCACTGTGCGGCTATCAGTGTCACTGTTAAGACTTGCCAGTGACGATATCACTGCATATCAATTTAAACAGATCACAAAGCCAGCTTTCAAAGATGTCACACAATAACATAAAACCCAAATGTATCACTTCCTAAACGACAGAATCGTTAAATTTTGACATGCTACATGAACGACCTCATGAACCGTAACTGACAAAGCGCCCACTTTGTAATTGTAAAACTAACATTAGATTATAATTTGCTTCGTTGGTAACCCTGTCCTTGAGATAATGATTAAAACATGTCAACCTCGTCCTCCGGAAGAAAAGGAGGAGCAAGGGTGGCACAGTTGGTTAGTGCGCAGCCTTCGGTGCGCGAGGTCCCGAGGTTCGATCCCCGGTGTCAACACATCCATATTTCAACTTCTCTCCTTTCTGTGTAGCTTTGACTAGCTTTAAATACCCTTGAGACGCAGCATTGATGAAGAGAGGGGGGTAAAAGGAGCGCACCGTCGACCTCAAGTTTATCAGTTATTATTACTGTCACGAGTTGTTGACGTAAAATATGGTCGCTTTACCTTTTTCTACCTTTTTATTAAGCCCTGGGGACGAGGTTGTAAAACTTGCCTCTCCAGGAATTTTTAACACTCTTTATTTTTTAGACATTTGCATCTAAAAAGAAGTGTATGAGGTCCCTGCATGCCTATACACCTGTAGGGAGCTCATTCACTTCAGAGCCCTTGCACCAGAGTGTTAATGTAGGTCTATACGATCTTTCAAAAAAAAAGGAAGGTCGTCGCATGCGTTAAAATTTACAAACAAACTAACTTTAGAGGAGCTGAAAGTTACTGGAACAAGCCTCTTATAGCCAACCAATGATGTATCATTTATGAAAATGAATGTAATTTCGTGGTTACGAAATCTTACGATCATGAGTTCCTCAAGAGCAATTCAATTACCAACTTTTCACAAAATAATGCTGTGGAAAATTACAGAAAATACCAAAGAAAGCAAGGGTCAACAATAATTGTGGCCTGGTCCCTTATAATAATGGAGTTGTCATGATAAAGAAGCCCATCAGCCCCAACTTTGACCACTCAAACAGATTTACTGACAGATTACATACCGCAAAACGTTGCATTCACTTATGCCACACCAGCCTAGAAATCGGCTCCTGGTCACACCTTGTTTTTATTGCTGAATATCATTCTTGAAATTTAGAGATGGTGACAAAAACGAACACAAAAAAAGTCACAAAACGAGACACATGAAACAACCACAATCTAATATTCGTTTTACACCGATATAAGGGCTGATTTGGCTGTTATGCTGACGTTTTTGAAGATGGAAGTAGTATCACAGCTAGTCCCGGGTTAGGTATACCATTTATTACCAGTTTCACGGTTCATTAGACTTAGGGCCTGTTATAACATAAAGGTGGGGGACCGGCCCCCAGGTAGGTGGGGTAACCTGCTTATGTGGGGTAAAAAAATAACCCTCCTTTCCATGCAATCTTACAACCCCGCCATCCTGGGGTGCACTTTCTCAAGATTACTGAATGGTCGCTAAGCACCTAAACAAGAAAAATGCTGGCCAACCTTGCTGCTCTTGCTGCAACCTTCAGCGTTGTGGCTTTCTATTGTTACTTTTAATAATTATGTGAAGCCACCCGGCGCCAAAGTGAATTTTGTGCGAATTTGATGTATCACGAATCAATCCGCCCCCGACTAGCCTGGGTTACCTCACCTTGAAACATTGACATGGCAAACGTTGACCTCAGCTGACAGGGTTACCCGGTGTGGCAGACCGGGCTACTCACCTTGAAGGGTCACCCCACCTATCATGTAAACGTGATCAAATTAAAATGAGAGATTATATGAACAGGCGGGTTACCCAACCTAAGTGGGCTACCATGCCTACCTGGGGTCCCCCTCCTCCATGTAAACAGGCCCTAAAAGTTATCCCACCCCCTTTTCTACAGTTTCAGCAGTTAAACCATTCACCATTTATCATTTGAGTCAATCTTGTCTCACTTTTACGACTTGATAAGCTGTTATTATTTTTGGACATGAGTGCTTCAGTGCCAAATGTAGAGGCTTCATGATAAACCGTGCTGTTTTGTGAAGGTTGGGCTAACTTGTTTCTGTTTTCGTTTATGACACCAGATTCTTTTTTGTTTGCTTTTGCTTTGCAAAGCTTAGACAAACTGCGGGAATTGTAAATGATATGACTTGTGCCAAGATGCTTGCTTCTCTGTCAAAACATGCACGAACGTCCAGCAGTTAAAGAGAGACTGAAAGGCATCCAGGCCTATGTTAAGCTGAAAATTAACTACCTCTTAGGAAAGACCTTTTTGGGGTTTTGTCATTTTGTTATTAGCTCTTCATGAACAGCTGTCATAAATCCCTGATAATATGTGATACAAAGGACTCTTTGACAATTTCTTTTTTCTGAAATTTTATGTGTGAAACGCTATGCCCTACGCTTTCTTTAGCTTAAAGTGACTTGCAATGACAAGTTATACTTGATAAATAAGGCTTAAGCCGCACAATAAGGCCTCCTCTAATTGAAATACATTAGAAAAGGAGAAGGGAACCCCAGAAGCTGAGTACTTGCAAGTTATGAAGCAAAGACGAGGCCATCTTAGAAATGACTTATGAAAATGTGGGCGGACAGTGGACTTGCTTTAAGGGCACAGTAATAATTAACTTAATTGTTCAATCAATAAGCTAATAATGGATGGGAATGCCAGATGTTCGAGTGAAATTGTTGTTTACAACATGAGAAGAGCATTCTGAGTGATTTAAGGTATTAAATGACAATTTTCAATCAAAACACCACAGAGACCCAGCAGGTGAAATTTACAACAATTAAATCCTCTTTAGCACGCTTCAGTGGCATATTTGCATTGGGCACCCCCTCTAATATTCATGGTACTGCAATAAGCTATCGCTGTGCAAAGTTTGGTGCTTTTGTCAACTCTGTAACGATCCTGACCTTAAGAGACCTGACTACTAACAGGTTTAAGTTTTCTCTCGGGTATTTGAGGAGTAGAAGCTTCCCCTTCAAAATTCCCGCCTTCCTCCCAAAAAAATCTTGTTATCATTACAGTATATATATAAGTAACTAGATCGGAAAAATCATCCAGACGCGACGAGGTCAGTACAAATGAAGTAAGTATTCCCTGTCTAATGACACTATATGACAAGGAACATGGAGTATTATTATATAAAAAAAAGACCACTGTAACATTTCTCAAAATTGTGTCTCAAAATGCACTAGATTGCATCGCAGCGCGTACTCATTTCAAAACATTTCGGGGGGGCATACCCCCGGACCCGCCTAGGAAGCTCCTGGCCTTCTCTTCGGCCACTCGGGACTTCTCCCCCACAAGATAAATCCTAGATAGAACGCTGCCTAAGCTAGAGAACTACAGTCTGACAGTGAAGCACTCCAATGCATTTAACGAACGATGTTTTCCTCGGTATTCTCTAAGATTTTTCAAGTCCTTGTCTTACGTTAGCCTCATGCCATGCTGTATAATTAGCAACCTGCTTTAGCGTTCGTATAATAAATGTTAGTAAAATCCAACTAGTGGTCTATTATCAATGCTGCGTTCTGATTGGTTGAGCTACTACTAGGCTATATGTTATAACCCACTAGTAACGAAAAGCGCCGGCTTTTTGGCGGCAAAAAAGGATTAAAGTCTAGCTTTAACTAGTTAAAACTTTTATATTCTCGATGTTTTTGACCAACTAGTCGGATTTTACTAAAACAATTATTTCTCTCGCCCTCATGGCCTCTGAGTCAATAGCCCATTCGGCCTTCAGCCTCATGGGCTATTGACTAAGAGGCAATTCGGGCTCGAGGAATAATTGTTAATTAGGGGACCTGGGCACAAGGTCTCGGTGCCAGACGAACTTCGCACTCCCTCTGCAATCTCTCATCGTTTCTTCTCTCCTAATCAGTTTTCATATAATTGGTCTTTCACTTTCCCCACTTTCTTGGTATTAGCTCCATGAATTGGTCTTTTGCCCTATCCGAGTGAGCGGAGGAGGCCTGGAACCGCGTTCGATGGGCGAAACACCACGACAAGAATGACAGGTGACGTCACGTGTCCGAAATCGCCGACGACGACTGGGAACGAGACTGCAGGTTTCCTTGAAAATTTCCTAGATTTCTCGGTCGGCCACGACCAGCGTAAGATCTGACAAGAAGCTCTATGATGATGACAACGCTTTTTCTATCGCTCAGTTTTGCAAGTGGTTGTCTTTGTCTCTTCTCAGCTGCTCAACTGTGTGCCTCACAACCATACAGCTCACTGCGCATGCACGTACGATCTTTCCAATTTATTGCACGAATTCGTACCGCAGTACAGTGAAATGGACTGCTGATACGATTTCTGACCACACCAGCTGCGTTCGAGTTGCCAGAAAACACCTGTTGAGAACAGAAATTCTCAAACTCATCAATCATTCCTTAGTCAAAAGCCGATAATTGACAACCATTTGGATCAGGTGGATGAATCTTGATACTTAAATGAAACACCTGATAAAACATCACCAGGTATTCATCTGCGATGGAACATGTTTTTAATCTGAGATCAAACTCTTGCAGTTGCATTTTTATTGTATCATTTCAGAGAACTTGTAAAAAACTGGACTTCGTACTTCATCACGGGTTCCAAACACCTCGAAACAAATGAAAGCAGACGGCCTATTGCCTCGTGTTTTCATCTGTCTCTCGGTGTTTGGAACCCGTGATGAAGCACTTGCCCTCGTTCTTGACATATTACTTCAAACACAGTATGATTGCAAACATCACAGCGTTTTTGTTTTTTTTTTCTTCTTTTCATTTTCTATTTTTTTGAAACAGGTGGCAGGTTAAAGTTCACGAAAGTGTTAACTTTCAGGCTGCGGTCGATTCGCTGTGCATGTAAACGATTCGATGGTGACTGTAAAAATTATCATTCCCTGGCCCACCCCAAAAAAGTCTCAAGATTGCAAGAAAACATATTTGGCGGCCTAAAAAAGAAGACACTATGGTAATGTGTCAACGTCCTTTCGAGAAATCAGAACGTCTGATGATCACAGAATGTTTGATCAAGAACTAGACTGAAGTTTTAAATTGTACAGATATGATACTTTGCCATTCTTCCTCACCCTGCGAACGCCGCCTCTTTGATATTCAGTCCATCGAGCTGCAGTACTCTTGTACTCCAGAAAATATACTAAATATTCTGTAGTCCAGCAGTCAGATGACGCATTTTTAGTATTTTTCCAGCCTTGAGTGGCAACAACTATCAGCAATTTTGCAGACGTAAAACGTATCTGTCAAAGAAAACGAGACGATTTCTGTAAGCAGACACCTGAGCAGAGACGCTTCTATAGTGTCTGCCTCTCTCTTTTACGTTCTCGTTTAAAAAATGGCCACCATTTCTATGTAGATAGAAAGAATGCTTTTAGGGAGCAAGAGGGAGACTGTTCTCGTGGAGTCACTTAAGGTTCAAGGAATAAGAACAAGACAATTGCCTATCATATCAGTGACGTTTCTACAACTCCTTAACAGTAATCAGCTTCTCCTTTTGAACGAAGAAGCTTGAAACTTCCTGCTTATCTAAACCGCGTTAAAGAAAGAAACAGTCATTTGCATCTTACATAGAAATGTTTGGGGCCTAAACTGTTAGCAACAGAAAACTAAAAACATAGAGGACTTTCAAAGCAAACGTTTCTTATTGTCCAAAAGAAATTAATACTTTTCCGTATACTATAATAAGCGCCAAAGCATTCGAATATGTTGATTTTTTGTAAATATGCGCAAAATGAAACTCGTTCCGTTTAACCGATACAATAAATAAAAGTAGTGTTATACTTACCTCCAAATATGGACTGGTGTCGTTGCTTAATGCGCGCCATCCGCCAGGTTTGTAAATACGACCACTAGATGGAGGACTGTCGGCCTCGAAACTTGACGCAGAGATTGCGGAGTTTGGTATGGAAAAGTCTTGAATCCCTAATGCCAATTCATTACAAACTGTGCCAAGAGATGAACAAACAAATTTTCTTAAATTTTTCGCCTGAGAAATGTAACGACTAAATAGAAATCTAGGGCGGTTAGCAGCCAGTGAGTCAACAAATCGATCAAACGATCAATCAATAAACCTTCTCGAATTTTTCAAACAATGCATGCGAGATTCCAGGAGTGGGCTTAAGAAGTAGAAGAAAAAGAACTCCTTCACGCAGTCGCTTTAAAAAGGTCATATAAGCGTACGAGACTTTTGAGCAAGCGATCGAACGAGTTACTGCACGCAATGAATAAGTCATTCAATAACTTTTAAGCCCTGTTCAAACGGACGCAACATTGTTGCGTCTGTTTGCACGTAGCTAAAAGTCTGACTGCTTTCAAACTTTGCGCAACAACTCCCAACAACACGCAACAACATGCAACAGGGTGTGCAAGTGGACGCAGCATCAAACATCCAACAATGTTGGGAGTTGTTGGCCAACAATGTTGCGTCCGTTTGCACGGGGCTTTAACTATACACGATAAAAGTTACACCTGTAGGACTACAGCCGCCAAATTTTTCCTCGCTTAAAGGGGACATGTCACGTTTTTCCTCTCTTTTTAAAGATCTAAAACATGTCGCAGCAATTGAATTCCAAAAATACTGGTACAGTGGTTTTGTTATTTAAGACCAGCCTAGTCCCCAGGCGTTCTCTCTTGCCCCGTTGTCTGCGCGAAGTCTGGGAAAGAGCGGGCGAGAGAGCGCGTTCTCGGCAAGTATCTCTCGGTGACGTCACAGCTCACGGTAGAGTCCACGATTGACCGAGCCGAGAACGCCTAGGGACTAGGCTGATTTAAGACTATATTAAGGTATTGAAACAGTTTCTTGTCGTCTGTTGCTATAGCTGGCAAAGATAGACATAGATGTAAATTTGTTTGGTGTCTTTTTTTATCACTCTACAGGAACTTTTTTGGTATGGTTAAAGGCAATGTCTGAGAAACTGTCTGCCTACCCCTCCCCTAAGCCAAAATTTTGCCCTACGTGAGAAGTAAGTGTTAATGTTAGCTTAGGGGAGGGGTAGGTGGGCAAGTCTCCCAGGAACCTAAATTGATCCGTGATGTTTTTATAGCTCAGAATTGACCAACTTCGTTCCCAGGGTTCTCTCCTACCCGCCCTACGGAGCGAGAGGGTAGGAGAGAACCCTGGGAACGAGGTTGAGAATTGACCTAAATCAGCAATATTCGCTTGACATCGCCCCTTCAAGTCTCGCTCGCCGCTCGCTCTAGCGCTCTTGGATGAGCTTACGCAGCTTACTTGGCTCTCTATAGAGAGAATGGTAACTGCAATCTGGTTTAAAATGTATCATATTTTGGGAAACTATTTTCTTACCTTGGCAATCGTCGCCACTGTAACTTGATTGGCACAGACACTTATATCCGGGACTTTCTGCTAGTACTACACAAGTGCCGCCATTTTGGCAAGGAGGATGCACGCATGCGTGATAGCGTCGATGAAGATTATCTATATAAACTGTGTTCTCTCGCGGGAGGAAGTGTTTTGGGTGCGACAAACGAGTTCCCTTGTTCAACTCACAGGAGTTGGAGGTCAGCATGTAGTTGATACTATAACAATCTGCTTTGCGTTCACACTTGAAACTGCATCTCTCCAAGGACAAGGTTTGTGCTACTGCGATCACGTGACCATGTAATGCTCGATTTGAAATTGACTTTACAGTTCGGCAGTGAAGCTCAACAGATGTAGTTTGGTCTAAAAACATTAGCAGCAAAGAAGTGCCCACAACAATCCAATCTCCCACGCTTACTCTAAGTTGCTCGTCTTGTAATCTGTGAGGTGAATTCAAACGTAGATACAGTTTTAGTTTATGACACATCAAGGCCGGATAATTAATTAGAAGTAGTGTTCTTTTGTGAAGAGACAGTCGAGCACGTGTGAGTTAGCTCCAAGCAGTTCCATCATTATTCATAGCGCACAATGAAATATAAATTATAAGAACCAACTCAGGTTTGTTCTCGTAAGGAATACAATAAGACCTGGCACATGACGTCAAAAAAGTTATTTTATTTAAAGAAGAAGACAACTGATTACACCAAACCTGTTGGCTTTCGAAAAATTCTCTAAACACCACTGGCGATAAGCTTGATATGAAAATCTGATGTTGACGCAGAGGAGCTCAGAGGTTTGTTATAGATCTGAAGTGATTTTAAATATCAAATCTGACACAGTCATGGCTGTCACATCGTTAATTTATAAAAAGGTGAAACTATATTCTCCTCATTTTAGTTACCATGTTGGAAAAAATTATTTTAACAAAAAACGCTAATTGCAGTCGAAGGGTTGCCATGAATGTAACAAGGTGTCGGTGCGCTAAGCAATCCCTTGACACCATGGACCAATAAAATTTACGGCAATATTGTTAATTATTTGACTAGCCATGGCGTTGCTTGGCAACCTTGGCAACACCGAAAGTGTGGAAAGAAAGCATAAATCTTGTGCTCGACTTTCCGCCAATTACAATTCGTCTCTACAAGTTGTCCACTGAAATCAACACAGCTTGCGTACTTCAAAAAATGCTCAACAAATTTCAATTTTCTTCTGTTGACACTTTGGTTCAAGGAAATTTCAACTCAAGGATTTTGTTGTAGCTTTGTTTTATCTTGCCTAGTAGAGAGTTAACCCCCAATAAAATCCGATTTTACTCTTTCAGTTTTTATACTCTGTTGCAAGATTTTCTCATGACAAAATCAGTTTGCCGTTTACCAGCTAATTAAAGAATAGTGATAACAATCATCGATTCAAACTATTGTCAGTACACTGAATAACACTATGTCGAATTTAAAGGGAAGGTTTCCCTTAAATTTTCCTCCTGGATAATGCAATTCAATATCGTTGACGTTATCAAAACAATTAAAGACGTTTCACCCGAGCCTACAGGGTGTTTCAAAAGTTCGTTCCGATTTTTTCTTCGCTCAAATTTCACTGATTATTAAAAATACCTTTTGTAAAACTTAGTATGTTATTTATTATTCATTTAACATTGAATAACCGAAATACCACTAACAAGAATGTCTTTCTGTGTGTTTTCTTGCATTTTCTAAGTGGTGAGGTATAGAATGTACGAACTCCCAAAGTGTGTCTAAAGACACAGTTTTCCAAGCGTAGCATAGTCACTGCCTTAGCTCGTCCAGTTATTTTGGGGCTGGTTCTTTGTATGTTTTCTCGTCAACGATAATCCAGATAGTCTCCAGAGGGTTCACATCACGTTAGTTAGCCAGCCGGTCGCCCTTTGCTATAAAGTTTCAAATCCTTCTGACACCATGTCTGCATGTGCGCCGCCTTTTTCTCTTCAAGGTTTTCCAACCTTTGCTGGTCATATATCTTCATACCGTTGTGCTCGAAACTTTGATATTGTGAAGTTGAAGTTTTTTTTACCTTTCTGTCTTGTAGATTTATTACGCATATACTTACAGCTTTTTCGATAACATGTGTCACACATTTAAAAAAAGACGGCCATACACTCCTTGGTTCGTCTTCTAAAGTCTTAACTTTCGACACTTGTTCACTTATATAATTCAGACTTTAGTCACCAGTTTAACAAATTTCTTTGACTGAATGGCCAGAGAACCAAAAAAATAGATGCCTCAGCTTTAGTGCAAACAGTGTAGGCCCTCATTTTCGTGACAGAGTGGAGAAAATTAAAGAAAACCTACAAAATGGGCAGGAAAAATATGGCGGGAAAAAACTCGCGTACGTGCACATTTGGGCCAAAACTTCAAAAATATAATTCCTTCAAATTTTAGTTTGAAATTGCTTTGAACGGTTATTTCGATAAATTTCTTACCTGAATCAGTTTGCATTTGCCTAAAGAAGCATTAAATGCTTTGCGCAAAATACAATTTACAATCGGAACGAACTTTTGAAACAACCTGTATTCTTAGTCTTAGATATTTAAGAACTACAACGAACTATATCTAAAACAAAACCAGTTCTTCACTTGTACTAACATTTCCCACTTTGTTCCACCTACAAAAATATCCGCAACATATTTTAAAGGAGACAAGTGGATGTAAAGAGAGAAAATTAATCAATAAATGTTTTGTTCATCGTTGTTGCTAGATTTAACATAGTTAAAAGGAGTCCATTAATAAATAGAAGGAATTAATGTATTCCTTAATTTAATTGTGCCTTACCAAAACATCGCAGCAAAACAGGAAAGTATCGTATAAATATTGTGATCGCTTACTCTCTGGCAAGCTAGCTGAAGCCGTCAAAATTAAATAAACTGCATCGACGCTGAAACAACTCATTTGCTTGGTGCTGTGGTCGGTTATGAGAGACCAAACACAACTGCGTAAGTAATCGAAAAAATGTCATCAAGGTTTTCTTATCATGTTTACAGATGCTTGCAGATTGAACATTAAAATCATATTTTAATTAATTCTTAAAGGAAAATGACTCACTCCGACTCTGCCCTCACAAATCTATTGGGGCGAAAATGAAGAGGATGAAATTAAATACACGGGTTTGTTTAACTTTTTTTTTACTTTCTGCGCGTTAAGATGCATCACTTGAAGATTGTAACTACACCAAACAGTAAAAAAATATTGGAAAGTAGATAATTTCTTAAGAAAATCGATCGGATAAATGTATAAATGCAAATCAAGGCTGACTTTAGGCCTCAAAAGTTGTCTTTGTTTAAAACTATTTCACAGGAAAATCTGTCAACTTAACCGTTGCAAAATGTTGACATCAACAGAATTGTATAAAAACTGGCCAAAGTAAAAAAGAAATGTTGCGAATTTTTCAAAACCTTACTGACGCCAAATAATTTCACGTGCAGTGAGCAACTGGTCACTGCACACATTTCACTCTCATATAATTATAATCTTTGTTGCAATCTCTTGTAATAGTGTAAAAAATAAAAAAATCTAAGGATGATATACGTTCCTGGGCCTTTGAAATGACAATTTCAAGCAACACAAACATATTTATTCTCTGTAGAGGATGTAGCGATTTCAGTACATCTAAGAAACAGTAGGTTTCAGGAATTTTTTGTGTACCGGAAAATTTTTGGATCCAATCTCTTTATCACGAGTCAAGAAATCTAATGCTTCTGTGCTTCTTTGTGTCTCAGAATCGTAGCCGCAAAAATTCTCGGATTCTTAAAACCAGGGTCTTGGCGTACCGAGGAGCCTCGAATCAGTACTTAGCAAAAATATCGGGTGTGACTATTCAGATGAATTAAGCCTACTTGCACGGCAGGTGATAAGAAATGCTGGACGCAAATTAAATAAGAAAACTTGGCACGACTGAAGTTACTATATCAGCGCCAGAGAGGAGAACACGAGTCTTCATTCGTTTTTGTACCTAATAATCGTTTCAATGCGAAAGGTGGCCAACTAAAAATTGAATGAAATTTCTAAAGTTCATTTTGTAAATTGCTGAAAAAGAAATAGTTCCAATTCAAAAAAGTTAGAACAGTCTTACGAGACTCGTCTGGCAGTAGCTAGCTTGCTATACAGGTTAGCTATATCCAGAACTTTCCTATGAAGGTTTTTTATCGGTTAATAAGGGTTTTATCTTTTCATTCTGTGCAAGGACATAAGCCACGAATTCTTAGTTCAGTGCTTAGCAGGAGCCACCCCCCCCCATCAATAGTGTTTTATCAGTTCTGTGCATGTTACTAGATTGCTGTTCAGTTCAGGCTGGATTCTATCGAAATTTTCACGGTATAGAAATTCCCGCAACGCTGTGGTAAGGAAAGTCATTCAGCAACTCTTTCATGTGGAACTGTTCGTTTTATTTAGCAAAGGATTTTTCTCTTTAATTTTACGTCTGTGGATAAAATCCTCAACTACACTGTAGGTGTGACCATTAAAGCTGTAAAAATGTGGTGTACAGCGTATTTTTCCAGGCTACCGCCCGCATACGAATGTGGGGATGTTTCTTATCCTTAAGGTGTTCAGTTAAGACTAATGGGAAAGACAAGAGTGGATATTACAAACAAAAGCTTTTGACAGCCGCCAGTCCTCAGTTTCATACGAGTCTTCATCAGCTCAGATGTCGGTAATTTTACATTTGAAGATTGTGCCATCCAACTATTCGAACCTAACATTATCAGGTATGCGCACGTCTTTTAAACAGACAGTACCTTAAGTTTTGTCTCTTGTTTTTCAAGGCTGAAATTCTTGAAACGTCCAGTGGTGAAAAATTACTCCGCCCTCTAAGAGTCCTTCACACCAGCTGGCTTAAGCAACCGACGTCTACCGACAGCTAAACTTACAGTTGCTAATAGCTATAATCTGTGCTGTCTGAAGTGATGTCAAGCTAAACCAAGATTCAATCAAGCGTTGTGTAAACTGAACTTATCTCGAACAGACTTCATTTGTTTTTCGCATTATTAAAAAGGAGATAAAAGGCGCTAATATAATATTGACTTATGTTTAATATTTAATTTGTTTTTCTCCATGCTGTGACGCAAGTATAAAAGCCACTGTACAGAGGGTAGGAATCGTATATAGAAATGACCCCCGTATATAGAAATGGCTTTCTTGAGGATCCGCAAGCGACTTTTTTTTGCGATCAGCATGATTTCTTAGTTGCTACGGACGCTTTGTTTTCAAAAGGTGACAAGAGAATTTCCTGCTGTGGGAATTTAATTAGTACATTAATTTCTGGCCAAAAAACGTAATCCGATAAGGTGTCAACCCTGTCATATGCCACTACAGTAGTAATCCTTTTGAAAGCTCAGAACGTGTTCAAGATAGTAAAAACCAGATGAAAATACAACGCTATCCATTATAAAAATTAAAATAAAGCAAAATTAAAACAATTTTGCTTATAGTAAAGTGTATGCCTTGCAAAACCTTCAAGTTGCGTTCTAGATAATTTTTTGCCAGATTTCAGCACGAGGAATCCACGCGCCAGGACGCGCGGACAGCAATGATCAGGAAATAAAGCGGAAGAACGAATTGTCTTTTCAAAAATATATTTTCCCTTTTAAACTGAAATGCTTCAAGGCTAAACGAGATTTTGCCTATTGCGACTGGCCGGTGCTATCTCACGATAGCCGATCTGTAGCGAAGACACGGAGTCCAGTGTAAATATTGAGCCGCTTTTTAGGCATGCGGTTACCTGCAGTCTTTATTTATGCGTCGTAATGTCAAAACAAAGAAACAAATCAGCAAGTCGAAAAAAGGATTGTGCAAGTAAAAGTATAACCCATCCTACAATGGAATTAATTGGATTTTACTTTATATGGTATGCTTTTGGTATATCGCGCTAGATCTGCCACGATACTTTGTCAGAAGATTCCCGAGAGTGAGAGCCACGAGTGATGGCGGTGTACATCAGAGCGGATAAAGGTCACACCGCGGTCAAACGTCTGAGCATGCGCGAGAAATTGCGCGGGGATCACTTCGTTCGATTCAAAAAACCTGCATGTGGCTGTGTCGACGGCAGTGCCTTCTTGTGAGGTAGAAGCGAAATTTTTTTTTTACTTCAATGAAGTTCGTTGGTGATGAAAGGGACGAAGAAGAGGAACTTATAACATGAATTGTAAGTATGAGTAAATATGCATTTGTCTTAATATTCCCGGACTGTCGGTTGTATTAATTTTGTTGATCAATGATCCTGACGCGGCGCGCAGTGGATGCAAATCGTGTTGGCTGAAAAATCTAACCTTAAGTTTGTATTATAGAATACTTTTATACTAACACATGCTTTAATGAACACTTGGTTATTTCATTGAATACTGACCATACACTTTAGGTTCTGGCTTGTTCTGCAAAATACAACATTGTTTGGTTGCTCTCGTTGATGAACTCGTACATTTCATGGTTCTCTTTCATGACAGATGAAAGCTTCTTCTAACTTCTTACATCAAATAAACTCACATTTTCTCGCAAAGAGTTAAGGTCTGTAATAAGAACAAACAAAATCTGACGAAAATAGTTATTAATGTCATTTCTGATTTCATCAAATGAGCCTATGTTTTAAATCCCGGAAAACTTAAAACTTAAACTTACATGTAAGCTTATTGAAAATTAAGCAAACTTAACAAATGTTAAGGAGCACATGTTGTAGTTTGGGCTTATCATCGCTTTCACTGCCTTCAAGAAATTCTCGGTGTTTTCAACAGTTGTACTGGCAATAAGAGCTCCAAAATTACCATGCAAGTGGCTGTCGAACATCACAATATTTGCTCCATGTGCAACAAAACAAATTGTCATATCGGTGATAATAAGAATTGCAGATAGATTAGCTTCTTGAGTTAAACGTTGGAGGTAAAATGCTGCTGATGACTGGGGTACATTTATATCTTCACTGGTTAATGTGATGTCAAACGAATCTTCCATTTGAATTTGTCCCAAGTTTTGTCTAAGGTGTTGGACTGCATCATCCACAGCAAAATTAATTGCTCTTCCCCCAGTTAAAGTGTCATGTGTGGAATTTCCCTGAATGATGCAGGACATCACAACAGCAGCCCACACAGGTGAAATTTGTGTTGGGGGTGGTAGGTGTCCTATGTTGGCATGATAACTTTTTGCCAAGTACAATGCAATGAAAGTGCAAGCGTTTGACCCCCTCCTGCCATTCATAGTAGCCTGCGAAACAGACTGTGGAAAAAAAAGGAATTTGCTGCCTGCATTGTTCACTGATGTGATGCTGATGTTTTGATTTGCTTGTTGCGCTTGGTGATTGACTCCTTGGTCTTGGCAGTGTGGCTGCTTTGGATGTTGCTGTTGACGTTCTTGTTGTTGTCCTTGTACTCTTAAACTTGGAGGTTGTGGGACAGTGACATTAGCTAAAGCATGATCTACAAACTGTTCCCATTCATCGGATTCATAGAAAATAGGTTGTCTTGAATTGTTAGGAGTTAATTCTGTGTCAGGCTCTTCAGAGGATAAGTTGGATGTTTCTGCATTGGTAGTTGATGACGACGATTTAGTAGGTGTTAGTAAACTGAGATTAAAAGTATCAGCCAGCATGGCTACTTTCTTTAACAGAGGCTTAGTACAGATTGGACAGTTAGAGTTATTTCGAAGGTAACATTCTTGGTGGAAAGTGTGGCAGCAAGCTAGTCTTACAAATTGGTCAGTGTCTTGAGTTACAGCACAGTTGCTGTGGTCGCATAAAATGGCTGGATTTGGATAGTGTGGGTTGCTATCCAGATGTTTGTACGAAAGAGGAAGAGACTTTGTATCAACAATTTCATTGAATGTTTGAAGATGGAATTTTTGTCTTTTGTTTTGACTTTGACTGGAAGGGTTGTCTGTGACCTGTGTAACAAAAATAATGTTTCTGTCAAACACAGAAGATAGTTTTAAGGAATATTAAGAATAAGACAGTGATAGTCAAGCTTTAATGATTCCTCCATTAATCTTCATAGTAGAACAGTATTAATTTTATTTAACTTTATCACATTTTCATTAGGTTTGCCATGTTTTTTTTAGCTGAAGGATAAAATATGAACTGTTAATAATAATTTTTTCACTTCTTTTATTTTGTAATATTGAGAGTTAGCCTTGTTAGTTTGCTGCTTCTTTAAGGTGAGCTTTCATCATCCATTTTCTTCACCTGTGTGCTTGACAGTGTTGGCTTAGGTATTGATGAGGTGACATTTATGCGGCTTATCCATTGAAATCTAAATAGCTTCGCTTTCATCTATTCAATTCAAACAAGAAGATTTATGTGTAGAGTTACAAAATGATGCAGATACTTACCTTCTTAGACTTTCCAATATTTTGAGCAACATCCTGGAATAATTTCAAAAGCACCTCAGCAACTTTGCCTGTACAAGTTTTAGAAGTTCACATTAAGTGAGGCAAATCAAGACAATACGTATCTATGGCCATGCAAGTTTTTTTTCAGTATAAATTTGTGACCATGGTCTAGAATGACAGCAACCTGTATCTTTGTGTTTTTGTTTTTGTGGGGTTTAAAAAAGGACTATGCAACTCATACACTGTAAAATATCTGCATGTTACCGTGTATCTACCAAATCATTGGTCAAGAGTTTCTAGGAGAGAGTAAGACTATGGAAATTTTTAAATGAAGCTCCATTAATATCTGCAAAATTGGTTTTCAAGAGGCAACACTAGAATATACAAACAGCATTAAATATCTTAAATAATGTTACATTAAAAACAATGAGGAAGCAATTTCATTGTCACTGCCTGCATTAAGATCTAAGACTTCCACTGTCAATGTCATTCTTAAGGTAAAGTTCAAAGTTGGGTTAATGGGTGATTGGTTTTTCTTCAACTTAGTTTTAAACAATGTCTTTTCTGGAATAAATTGGAAATAAGACTAAAGGGAAAGTTGTAGTTGATTAATTTTTTAAAAAATGTATCACTTTTCTTTTGAAAAGAGAATAATAAAGCTAGATACAGTTGTCCCTTGCAGTTGTGAAACACAATACCTGCCACAAGTTTCATGTTTTTTTCCGATTGACCTCTGGTGTATGGCCTCACAAAGGAAGAATGAAATTTCCTAGCAGTGTCAGAAGCAGCCAGAGAAATTGCTGTGTCATGTATCTCATCACCACTGTAATGTGTTGAAATGTGATTTCGTAACAATGAATGCCAGATTTCTACCTTCTTTTCTGTTATTATTGATAGCCATTGCTCTTTAAAGTTATAGTAGGCAGGAAAGTTGATCTTTTGGTGATACAAGTCACTTAACATGGATAGAGTGGATCTGTCATAATGATGTCGCTCCCAGATAATGAAAATAATGGCTAGACGAATCATGACATTTATGTACAGTTCCAGATTACCAGAGCAAAAAATGCTGTCATATTGAAAAAAGACCAGTGGCAAAATTTCTTCAAGTAAATTAACCAGGTACAGAAATTCAATATCTTTGCAGAACTTGAATTTGGCCAGGACTTTATGTCTGATTAACAACCATCCACACAAGGTTCCTGTAATAATGAGGCTTGTTCGAAAGGGTTTTGGTTTAAGTGGGAAGTCACTGCCAAAAACCTCCTTATAAAGTCTTGCAAAAACTATGTGGTGGCTTTTAATGACATCCTCATTTATATTTAAGCAGACATGAAAAGGTCCTTGTTCTGGAATAAGGGACAAATAAGGGTGTTCTTGGGAACTTGTTTCTGGTAGCTGAGCAATTATTTTTTTGGTGTAGTACCAGGTTGGCCAATCTCCAGGCAGTGGAATAACAAATAATTTACAGAAATCATGAAGGGGAAGAGCAGAATGGAATGTATGGTTAAGTGCAGCCTTGTAATCCTCCATGCTTTTCAGGCCTGCCTCGAATTCGTCTATTAAAACGCAAGTGCTCAGGGTAAGAAGTTCATCTTGTGCCATGCCATTGTATACTCTAGAAATTAAAGTAAAAATATTGTTACTTGTGCACCATGATTGCAATTTAAGACTTTATATAATGCATACATAATGCAGGTCTATTGTAGAGAAAAATAAGTCATTACCTACTGGGTTGCTGGAACATACATAGTACAAGAGCACATGTACATGTAGTGTATTTCCAATTGAGGGTGTCTTAGTGTTTTGTGTTTTTTTTTTTTATTGTTTTTTTGTACCAAACAATTCATGCAAACCCAATCAACTTGGCAAAAGAAGATATAATTAATTTGTTTTCTTCATGGTTCAAATGCTATTACAGTTTATGCATTCACTGCGATTTTACACACCACAGCTATGAAACCCTGTTAAACTGGACAGTTGTGGGAAAAGAGAAAACGTGAAACTCTTAATAAACACCTGAACTGTTTGATCTGTTTTTGTATATCTTTAGCCTTCAGCTGCTGACATTGTTGGGGAAGAGAGGTTAGAAATGAGTGGTGGTGGCTTTTAAGACTTTCTGTGAACAGTTCTTGTATGTATCTTTTACAATACCACCTCTGCAAACAGTCTCCTGCCCTCTGAAAGTAATTTTCAAAACACTGTGGACACACTGTGCGTTGGGTTTTTT